AATAAACAACGCCCACTACTGGCCGAATGGATAAAACCACCGAACACTAGGGCTGGCCACGTGGAGTTTTCCGGGTTTCTTCAGGTTTGCAACACCACAAAGGGCTCATTTTCCGAACATTTCCAGAAAGTCTTCATTTACAGAAAGTCTTCGGGTGGCATCCTCTCGGCAGATCGCCCACGTATCGTGTTGCCGCATATAATCTTAATAAATAAGTTTTAAAATCCCCTTCCCAACGTCACAAGTACCAACCAGGATCGGGGGCAAAGAAAAAAACCGAATTTGAATGCACCGGTGTGTTACGAGAACAATTCTACGCAAGGTACATGTCGGAAGTCGTTTACGAGCCACGCGTCAGCTTAAAGACTCGAAGCTGCAACACCCGGGGTGAGATTGCTCCCCCGATAGTACAGTAGTGACGACGAATAACCCTCTTAAACTTCGCTCTATAAACATATAGTAGGGGGTGCCATAGTAGTAAGGCACGCATTTAAGTTTATCTTGAATCAATATAAGTTCCTATCGATCGGGGTCGACGAAAGTGGAGAAGTTCCATTTTCGTCGCTGGTCGTATCGTTTTAGTGGGCCTCACACAAAGTTATCATTAACAAAATAGGAGAAATGTTTAGATAATGAGAAAAGCAAGCCAGGCAGAACAAATACGGGATGGGTTGTAGATTGTGGACAGGTCTGCATCGTTTGTCACTCTTGTCACCAGTAAACCGCTCGGGAGTTGTGCAGACTTATAAACACGCCTGCTAATGGCCGACGCAAAATTACTATTATGAGAATATCTTCCTTCATTAAAGGCATAAGAGGTATATCCTCTTTGGCATATTGGGTTACCGCATGCTGAGTAACTCCTCTCTTTCAATTCTTTCACTCCCTAAATATGAATAAAGTTGCCAAAAATGTAAGAAAAATTACTAAATTCCGTGTTGTACACATACTGAAAATTTGCTGAGTAATTTACAAATTTAATTATACACCGACATTTTTTTAAGTAACACACTTTTAAGTTTCTTAAAACGCGTGTGGCTGCTTAATGCCTAGGTGACATATCCAGTTGTTTCCTTCCTCCTGCATATCCTACACTGGATAAAGACGAAGATAAATCAAAATAACCAGAAAATACGCTACAATCTTGCAAATATACGAGAGAAAGTCACTACATCTAGAATTAAAACAGATACAATCGTATCTGTTTTAATTCTAGATTGCTTTATTGCACGTGCACAAATATAACAATATTGAAAACGGGGCGAGATTACTCGTAAATTTCACGACATCAGAATGTTCCTGGCGTACTGTACCCTCGATTTACTTAAAAATCGCGTGTTTTAGAACGCGCGTAGAGGGGCCAACCCCTTTAAGCACGCCATAAAACCACGTAATCTCTGGGACATTTTGACATTCCAAGAATGAAACGGGGCATAAATCTTAAAACTGAATTTGTTACTGTAGAAGTATAAATGAATTATTGTAGTGCTAGTAAGTTATTATTGGCTATTGCAGTTGTGCTCAGGGGTGTTAGATGTATCGTCGCTTGGCTTGCTTCCAAATGACTATGTGGTGCATTGAATGTCGGGAAATGTCCCAAACTATGTTATCCAGCGTAACATGATCCATAACACCACTTTTCTTACTCCAGCGGGAGTCGAGGCAACAATGAGAATTTCACGTGGATTATTTTAATATTAAAATAAATATGTTAATATTTATAAATCAGTAATTTTTATCTAACATACTCAGCAGAATAATAGACAGAAATATTACTTTATAGCCCTCATAAACGAATTTCTAGAGACGATAAACGATTCAACTCCAGCTGTTACCTGTCATTGCATCAACGTCTGTGTACACTTATGTACTAGGAACACATCAATGTGGAAACTAGCGAAATTTCCTCATTTTTTTATTACGTGGTTAAGTGTATAATTTTCTTATTTACAAAGATAAAATTCTGTCATATATAGTATATATATTTCCTCCCCCGCACAGAAATCAATCTTTATCGCTGTCGCTTTCGGATAAAATTTCAAAAAATAAACCCACTCCTATCTCGCGATTTAGGGGAACCCCTTAATCGTTAATACGTATCCAGATTGGTATAGCGTGCAAAAATAGCACAGAGCCTCGAGCGGGGGAGAGAGACAGAGATGATGATGATGAAAAAAAGTCGCTAGACGATATCGCGTAGCGAATCGCGCGTATTGAAGCTCGCGTCGCTGCCGAGGAAATTATGCAAAATGATGATGAAAATTTGATTTAAATCATGATTTGTTTAAGTTACAACTACCGAGAATTTTAAATTAGTTCAATTCATAATTATTTAAATAAAATGCCATTTAACTGAATGACTACAACTTAAGAACATCTGTATTATCTTAAACAAGCGAGGCAGGAAGCGGTTAAGTCATTCGATGATAATATCCTCTCTCTCTCTCTTTCGCTCGCTACCTTATCAAACTGATGAGAGGATGTGTGCAAAAGAACAAACCGTTCGATGACATCACCAGAAACATCATTTCTTCAATGACCTTTACTTCTCTTCCTGTCCAAGCCGGTCCACTTCCATTTACAGGTACGTACAATGGAGAATACGATACTAACGTATCGATCCTGTGCCACTCACGACCGTGCAGTGGAATAATCCCGACATTCAGCTTCCGAATTGTGCTCTTAATCGCTTATTTCTCCACTTCTTCGGGTGTAAAAACATAATTAAATTTTTATTAATAAAGCGATTTTTATGCGGAGAGGATGAAGATGGGTTGAAAGGTCTTGGATGAAACTTCATCTTTTCTCCCTCCTCCCTCCTGTAGTGTTTGCTTTTATGCTTTTTAAAATCAGCTTTCCACTATCAGAAGCACCTCTACCGCAATTAATTAGTACGTTAAGTGAAACCGAGCCATCAACAGTCCGAATTTTTCGCTGTGTTCGATTATAATATCCCCTCTCTCTCTTTCGCTCGCTACCTTATCAAACTGATGAGAGGATGTGTGCAAAAGAACAAACCGTTCGATGACATCATTTCTTCAATGACCTTTACAATGTTTAAAACCCACAAAAACTAGTGCTCTTTTTTATAACCTCGTACGCGTGTGGTCCTCATAAAGCACGCGGCTTAATGGGAAAATTGTAGTTTAGACTTACCTGCTTGCACTACACGGGATAAGACCCTCTTAGAAAGCCATTATGTAGGATGTAAGACCCTCATAGAAGTCTATTACAGCGAATAACTCACTAGGAAATCAGTTTTACAGGGTTAAATCCATTAATATTTATTAAGTTTGAGTTGCTGTGCGGCTCAGAATTTCATTATAAGTTAAAGAAATTCCGGTAATAAGCTGGCTGATATCATTTTTTAGTCTAGTAGAAAATTGCATGTTTTATCGCTAAAGTTTCCCCCTGTTTTTTTCTTTTTTTAAATAATATTAAAATGCCAATCATAGCAAAGTGACTTCTGCTAGTAATAAAAACTTCATTTGTCCTTAATGATAGGGTTTATTGAATCAATCATACACGATCAGCAAGACCTTCTTCCAGTTTTATAGCCAGCTTTTGGAAGTCATAACCGCTTAACTGTTCATCTACTTAATATATCGAGTAAAAATTCCATCCAAGTAGTGCTTATATAACCGAATTAGTCTCATACAAAAGTCATTTGTACAGATTTTATTAGAATTAAACTAAGAAAATTGTAATTCGGCGCCACCACGTGGAATTTTAATCCAATATTGAAACAGAAAGCAGTTACGTTAAACTATAATAATCTTTCAATTACTTATATAGTCTACTCATCCATCCGTTGCGCTTTACAATGATGGTGTGACATTATAATTAAACAAAATTAATATTATCGATTAAAAATTTTCATTATTCCTTAGAAATTTAAATGTTCGTTACTTTATATTTTACTTTTATTTATAATATTTGGGCCGATAACATTTTAATTCGTAAAAAAACGGCGCGATCTAACGTGTAGTCGGTTAGATAAAAGAGAATTAAAAAAAATCCCAAACAGCGGGGCCTTTTCAAACAGAACAGTCAACGGACGCCATAGGGTACAGTCAACGAAGCATGTTTCAATGTGATACAAGTCCATGCTCTCAACTCTTTGGCCATGTAGCTCTACCTTGCCAGACAAAGGAACGTCAAGTAAAGAAATCAATAAAGTTGCTACAGAGAAAGAGGTTTGCTCCTAAGATGGGGAGGTTCTCAGACTTGGATGCTGTAAACAGGCTCGGAGGCTTACACAACTTAAAAGCGAATCGTCACGTGATGATTTGTGGTTGGTATTAGGTCAACACGGCTTTTAAAGATCTGATGTTTGTCCGGTTGATGAGGCGAAGCGGGTTTTTATTTTCTAATCGCTTGTTTGCCAAATATTTAAGACGTTCTGCTACACTCGAACCGCTTCATGTTTCACGAAAATTGCCCCGTATTGTTCGTTAACGTCAGAAAATAAAGGAGAAAAATGTAAAAATGAAGCTGCAACAATGTCGCGAATCGACGTTATCCCGGGGTTTGAAGTGGCTACGCGATGTGAGAGTTTAAACGAAAAATCGCTGTGCCACTCGGGAATTAAATCTAAACAAGAGGTTGATTTATGTGTACCGCGTACGCTATAACCGAACACGAGAAGAATGAGAATGAAACATAATCCAATCCGAGCCCGGAAGGAATTACATAATGAAAAACAAAAACACTTATAATATTATAACCGAAAGCTTTCACGTGTGAGATTACGAGATGTTCTCGAATCCTACCTTCTCTCCCCGAAACATCACGAAACCACGGATTTAATATTTTCACCGGTGGGGTAGCAGACTGTACCGGTACCCACTATACATCAAACGTACGTCATACGCGCTGGTAACGGCGTAAAGACGTCGTCACAACAGCTGTTACGCCGAGCAGAACGGTTTTGCTGGGACGGGGGAATATCCCCTACACTAAATCCTACCAACAAATCAAAGAGGGGAAAAAGCACTTACCACAGCTAACACAGTTGACCAGGGTATACAAAACGACAATAGTCAAAACCAGCTTGTGCCTGTCTAGTAAGCAGTTCGTGCACATCCTTGCGTAGTACCGTGTGCTGCACATCTGATACACCAATGTGTATACAACCACTGCTTCGTCACCGGCAACGAAGCCGGATGACGAGCTGGACTCGATGTTATTGTTACGAGGTCTAGTTTCAACCGAGGTTGAAGTTTTCACAGATTACATTCACTACCATTTGCTTGATGCTCTTCCCTCGCTGGCTTACTGGGTAGTGCTCGTCTGACTGGCAGTTTTCCCACCTCTCTCCTGATCACGTGGCTCCAGCGAGGGATGGCGGGTACTTGACTACGTCGCCATCTCTCTGTTATTCTCAGTACTGCAGCTATGCGCGACACCTGTCTCGGGTTAACGTCCCTACTCGCTCCACCTGGATTATCTTCCACTACAGGATAATCGTTCGAGCTGGAATTCGTATTTTTTTTCTTTCCACCCCCTTCCCACCTTCTTTTTACGCATTATCGAGTAAACCGTGCGTGAATAATTTGCAATAAAATTGTCTAATTATCCTCCGCTAACGATTTTTACGATAATTAATCATTATCACCTCCTCCATACGTGCCATTGTGTGTGGTGAAAAAATGATCATCCCGATCGCTGTGTACCCATCAGTGATAATGATAATCAAAGTTTACATTATTAAGTCTCATTATAACTTGATAATTAATTTGTAAATTACATTAAATGGTACTTTAACACCGAAAATCTTTGCTTTGCGATTATCTTTTCGACAATAATTCCCTATCAAATTGTAATGATTTATCGGTTTGTCGTGATAATCCATCATAAATGACAAGTAACCCTTAAACTGTATCATTTTAACGTAGTTTACTATTTTTTAAAATGATAATTTAACGTAATATTAGCGTTTTTTGCAGGTTGCAATTATCCTAGCCGTGGCTAATCCATGAAATAACGCCAGCTATTCTTTCAACACCGATTAAGCGATAATAATCCGCATAGCATATTTAAATTAATTTTTAAGATATTAGTAATTATCCTTCATCGTAATTGCATTATCTTTGATAAAATTTTATGCAATTAATTTGCATTTAAGGTGGAATTTAATTAGTTTAAAAATCATTTTTTTAAAATTAATAACGATGATAATGGGCCTGCTCTTGATGATAATTTATGATGAATAATCTAAATAATATACTCTATTCATGAATATAACCTTATAAAATTTAAATAAATAAAAATATATTTTAAAGACAATGATCGCTGGATAGTGGCGAAGCTGTTATGGATAATTTATATGTTTAATTAATTTTAACGTTGTTTAAACGAAAGATAATTACATTAATTACTTATTTTTATCAGAATTTTTCAGTGAAAAAAATTTATTTTTCTGTCACATCAATCCTAATTATCTTAATTAACAGATTTTTTTTACGCAGTTGAGTGTGTATTACTAATGATAATCAAGAGGATTTTATATTATTTTATTATTTTTTTTTTTAATTTCCGTACGTGTCACTTCTTACGTCTCTAATAAATGAATTATGCACATTAATTGATACTCTCTGAGGATAATGCATAATTTACATCTTAATTCTTAAGGATAATTAAATTATCAGCGTAATTATTTCTTTTCAGCTGAATTTAAGAGGATTAGTTATGATCAGGAAGAAAAAGACGGCGACGAATCCCTTCCTTTCAACGTCTAATTATCCACCAAAACACGTTATCCTCAGTAGAAAAAAAAACAGCAAGAAAATGATAATTTAAATAATTAATTTTATACTTAAAATAATTTTACATGTGGTAATTAGATAATCAATATAAAAAAAAGTAATTATAAGAGGAGGGAACTGCTCCTTTGCAGCTTAGAATTGATGATAATCATTAATTTACCCATGTAAACCAGGTATCACTATTAACAGTTGTATCAGTTAGTGTCGCTTGGCAACACAAGTCAGGAATTGCATCCAGGGGTAAATCAGGGGGTGTAATAAAAAACATTCCAAAATGTCCACGTGTCGAGCCTTAATTCCTTCTCTAGAATTTACTTTCTTCAATAAAAAAAATAAATAAATAAATTCTTCCAACGATTATCATCTGTTGATTATCTTCTTGTCCATATGAGTCATTTAAGTTTCACGAAAGATATTTGCTCTTGTGTGACGAAGCAACTGTCCAAGACAGTTCTATCTATCCAGTTCCATTCTGTCTGTCTTGTCCAGATGTCTCGTCAAATGCGTTTGATAACGCGACACAAAAGCATAGTCGATTGTATTCCGTTTTGGAAAATCATCACCACCTCTAGACAATAAAGCCAAACGTATCAATTTATACATCAAATCAATTCGAACTGCAACAATTAATTAATTTTCTCCTTTCTAAAAATACAAATTTTCTACATTAAACATTAAAATTATCGACAATTTGACAGTTGTTCGGGGTACTCCGCTCCCCCCCACGTCTGAGACTGCCTGACGTCGGTACCTCTACTTTCGGCTTTTTGATCGCATGCTGAACATTATCGCGATTGAAAACTTTCTCATTCTATCGAGCCCCTAATTAACTCTCTAAGGTGCATTTAAGTTAATTGCTAATCGCTTTAATTAACATCAACTCTCGCATGAATCCAATTATATTTAAATAATGCCATTAAGATATTTGGCGAGGGCCCAACCTGATCTTTAATGAACTCTGTGAAGAGAGAGAGAGTGCCTCACGCGCCTCACCAACAAGTCCATTAGAGACATTACACTGTGACCAGATGGCACCGTAGTAGAGTTGGTCTCCATGGTAACTTACAGTCCGAAATACTACATTGTTACCCTCCTCTACCCTACTCACTCTGTCCACAATCGAGAAAGACTGTCATCATACCTGTCACGAGGACGGCACTTTGCATCGACTCTATGCCATACGACACGTGAAGTTGCCATTAAGGAACGAATGACTTATCGAAACTAAAGTGATGCCCATAATTAATGCCATTCTGTCCATTTTCCTTAATGGGATACGGGGTGATCCGCTCGATTTAATGAAGAGAGAGAGAGTTGGGCGGATGACTGCAACGGAGCTTCCTGCACGCGTAATCAAACCCTGCATCTTCTTTCACTCCTTTCTAGAACATTTAAAGATGGAATCGAGCTGGTCTATACCCTTCTGTTTATTGCCCTTCCTTCTCAGAAAGCGATCGAAGATGTTTTATCGTCCAGCAAATCCCTTTTGTCTCTGTCCCCTAATCCACTCCTAACTAGGCACAATATTGGTGCAGGTGGCACAATCCACTATGTCGGATTCGCTCTGTGTGCAACTGATCCACTTTTATGCCCCAGAGTAACGAGAAAGTGTAAAAAACTGAAATAAAATAAAATATAAAGCACTAAATAACTTTACTTTCAGTACCGTTAATGTGCCAAAATCACCTTTAGAATCTATAAAAAATAATAATAATTTGGCAATTAAATTTTAATTGTATATTTAAAATAATTTACTAATGAGATTCGTACATCGTCGGCCATCTTTATGATATTTTATCACATAGAAAATCATTCATTCATATCGATAAATTTTATGAATGAATGGAATTTTAAACTCGATTTATGAATGAATACTAACGCGCGAAATATCGAATGAGCGCGGGCCGATGATGTAAATCAAGCGCGAGCTTTCTATCACGTGGAAAGAAATCGAAAGCGAAAGTGCACGCGGCGAAACATAGCTCTTGCCAATTTGACACGTAAATCAAATCGCGCGATTTTAATTCAATAACTCGCATTGGTTAATATAAATCACATGATCAGTTTCCAAATCTAATTATTCGAGAGAGGACGAAAGAGGGCGCGCGCGCTGTTTCCTTTATTACGTGCCGCGACTGTAGCGACGCCTGGAGTGAGTTTCGAAAGTTTTTCTCCGCGGATGGTCACGTGACGCGAGGCAAATTGGATTTAAAGTGAGGTTAGGGAATTGAACCGGACGGAAAGCAATATTGTAGCGCTTTATGAAATGCCAAAACTAATCTTTTTTTTCTTCGTGTCACTGAAACTTTTCCTTTTATTTTATTTTATTTTTTTTATTTCTTTATGCTTCCGTTCGACCACAAACGTCCAGAAAGATGGACAAAGAAGGAAAACGGAAGAAAAGGCAAATAACTTTCCGGTAGTGGCATGAAGTGTGGAGAGGTTGCGCGTGCGTCGCTATGGAAACACTATCGAACTATACTTGCTTCCTGCCTTTGGATAGGAGATGATGCTTTTCCTCTCTTTTCCTTGCAGTTCTTACGAAGTGAAAAGTGTTTAACGCGTGAAGTGAAAGCTTACTGTGAGATCTCAAAAAGGTACCTCTGTATAATCTGGCGAGGGTGCACGGGAACCGAAAACCTGACATTCGGCATGAGTGACTCAGCAAAGATTACTATGCAGTTTTTCGACTGATCGATCGAGTGATAATCGAGGATAATGCTTTGAAAAGATCATTATCGTGAACATTTTTGGATGATTTCTGCACGGATACAGGTTTATTATGTTGCTATTTCGTGTATACCACGTGACCTAGAGGACCACGTATTTTGAGCAAAAAAATTACAAATGAAATGGATAGTTCTATTAGGAATCTTCATTAACCAGCATCACAATTAGTTGAGTGGTGCAGATAGAACGGAGATGATGCATTATCACGTGACGAAAATTAATCGCAATCTCTCTTGCAGCTGATTTTCGATCACGTGACGAATTGCCATGATCTCAGGCAATAATCAAACCATTTGACTAATCGAAACTCAATAAAATTTTAAAAAATGCCACGTTGTTTGTTTTGTATATCTGTTAAACGTTATCCTCACTCTCTTTCGGTGGGCGCACATTTTTTTAACGATTTTCGTTTCCACCCCGGTCACGTGACGTTTTCTCACCCGGCTTTACAAAAACCTCGTGCGGTTCGGTTTGCAGGTCCATAAATCATCACGTGACCGCTCCGGCGATTCGTTTGCCCGTGACAAGGCCGTGCCGAAACTTTGTGTTTTCGATCGCACCGTGATCGCACGCGCCCGTTTATTAAAGTGCAAAATATCTGGTCGAAACCAGACTGGGCAAGGCAACTGGCGATCGTCACGTGTTAGAGAACAGGGGTGATAATTCATTTCTAGGCGGATAACGGAAGCCCGCGAAACGTCACGTGAGCACGGCGACAACTCTTCTGAAAGGACACCGAAAATGAGACATTATTGGGCACGTGATCGGCCTCGGGTGCATAAAATATACATTCCGTCACGAGAACACTTCACAAGCGTTCACGCTCGGGCGA